ATTCATTATTTGTGGTTTGACACCAGTTGTTACGTTATTTTCTTCCTTCATGTACGTACGGGGTTCGTATGGATTTGGAATGAATAACGATGACACTACTTGATGAAATATCGAAACACACTTTATTGGCCGGTATTGTCAGGACAGCTCCAAAGTCACTTTTTTTACAGTCGTCGAAGATCTACTTACTATAAACACGCTGACACCATCAGCACAGCTTTCAAGTTATCAAGCTATCACGGTGCAGACAGCTTCACTTCAAGCATTAGAGTACAGCTCCCGACTCTGCTGGGTCGTTCTCGGAATTCCACGTACTCTTGAGACCCTCCACGCTACAACTTGCGATGCACTCGACGACACACAGATCATGGCTGCCGACTCTTCAGTTCAGTCGTTCCCGGAGCTCAACACGCTCTCTCAACGATGCACTAACCACGATACACTACGAGACTCTTTCGGTGCACTCGCTGCCCGGCTGTCAACTCGATTGACTCGCTAGACGAGACACCAACTTGATACTGACTAACTCGCACTCTAGACAAGGCACATTCTATCAGCTTGCTAGGCGAGGCATACACACTCTGACTCGCCCGCTCGACGAGGCACTCTAACTGACTGCGGACCAGCAGGGTTTATATAGCTTTCGGCTGGTGTTCAAGAACATTCTGAGCTAAACCGGTAAGAATTCATTCAAGAATGTTCTCCATCCGTCCATGGCATATCGCCAATTTTGTCACCAAATGGGCAATTTCTTGCCAAATGTGGCAACTCTGCCTTACCTTGCCATTTTATGGCAATCCTAAAACTGCTTTGCGGGGAAGCCATTTCACCGCGCCTGTACATTTCGTAACAATATATTTGTTTTTATCTGTAAATTTTATTTGCCGCATCATAACCTTTCAGCTTATGTGCCAAAATATCCACTACCACTACCATCCGATCAAATTTAAATATTCTAAGCATTATCTCAAATGTTATCAAAGTCAGTAAGCATACAATAGAATTTAGACAATTTAATAAGCATTTCTACTGTAAAAAAAATCTGATGCATACTTCACGACTTCCTTGTACGGAATTTTAAATTATACACAATTTTCCTACATTTCATTAAAACATGTTGAATTAACAGTTAACAAATTTTGAATTAAATCTACTTCGTGTATAGCACATAAACCACTATAGAAAAAATGCACTTTTTAAAGTTCACTATATTTGTTTACCATAGGGACACTTTGGCAGTAGGTTCTTTTAACATCTCATTCATTTTATAACTCAAAGTGCACAAAAATTATGTCATTTGAAGAGTTACCACAAGTTCTATTCAAATACTATAATAAATCTAAAAGGATGTATAAAAGAAATTAAACAAATAAAAAAGAAACAGTTTTTCACAGACAATTCAGCGCCGCTTACCTTATGCGCATGCAGTACTAATTAATTCAGTTCTCACTTCACATCAAGGGAAAAATACATAAAAATTCAAAATATTTTCATTAAAATTTGAAAGTTATAGAAAAACATAAAACATCAAGTACAGTTAAAACAATTTTTAAAAAATTACAATTTCTATGCAAAAAAGAAGCTAATAACATAAATGATAATTCCAGAATGAAATAAGCATAATTTAATTCGCAATAATAAAAAAGGCAATACTTTGTTGCTACGAAGCTTATTTTCTCTAGATTGGCAACAAATCCACTATTCTGCTAAGTTTCGAATGTAAACAAACATGGCTGCAATGGTAATAAAAAATTAGGCTTAGCCGCAGTTATAAAGCTTTTAAATTATTGTTAATTCTACAATTGTTGCATGCAGGTTAACTAAAGGCATAAAAACCATAACCAGAACAACATAATTCAATCATTTTTAAAGCAAAAAATGCACAATTTACAAACATAGGAATAAAGAAACTGAGCTTACTGAGCCGAGTAACAGAGTGGATAATACTTTTGGTGTGGCAGATAGCAACCAAAATACGAGGTGCACGTCTACATGTTATAGCAGTCCTATATACAAAATTTCTGATGCTACTCGTTTTTGAGTTATGAGATGCACAGACGCCATGAAAAATTCTCTTTAGAATTTATTTTAAATCAGTTGTATAATTTTTTGGGGGTAAAGTGTCTTTTATTCTGCCCTTACGTACAGATGTCATGCAAAAACATTGTTAACTTGCATTCGATAGCGGTCAAAATGGATGTTTTCATTGAAATATGGTACCTGGAATTTTTCACGATTACAGTACTTCCTTTTTACTTCGTACAAGGAACTAAAAAGTTTCAAAATTCACCTTTGGTGAAATAGTTGTATAAGTAAAGAACGTATGTATGTTTTTGAAGCTGAAGGAATATAAGTTTGTCTTCAAATAACTCACCAGAGAATCAAAACCGTCATGTTCAATCAAAACTTGACTTAGCAGGGTGGCATTCTCTATCATAGAATATAATTTAGCTGTGCTGATGTTTTCACACATTGTATAATTCTGTCCTTAAAATGTGATAAATGATTTGTGCTTTAATATGACATGCTTATTAATATAAGGTATTATCCCCCCCAAACATAATCCCATGATTTCTAACAACTGCATTTTTAAATACAGTACAAAGTCTGTAATCCGGACATCCATTATCCGGAATGATCTATAATCCAGACCTCAAAGCCACAAGCTTTACGCATGCGCATAGAGAGTGCATGTACATTACACATGCGTATAAAGAATGCACATGCATAATGTATGCTTTACACATGGGCGCGTTGAAAGAAATGTTATATAAAGTAAACAAATAAATATTAAGCTTTTTTTTTTTTTTTTTTTTTTTTTTTTTTTTTTTTTGTAAAATTTGATACCCTTTAGATCATAATTGCCTTTATTGATTTATATTTCATAAATTATGTTTATTCATATTTTTAATTGTACAATTTCTGCATGCTATCTTACCAGATTTAAATTGATGATCTATAATCCGGAATCGAAGTCCCGACGAGTCCGGATTATGGACTTTGTACTGTATATGCTATAAAATAGAAATATTTTGCTAAAACAGAATTGAAACTTTCCATGTTTAACAATTACTCATTTCTTAGTATGTATTTAAAAATCTGTTATCAAATCAGTTTTTTTGATGAGCTTCATTTACCCTAGCTACAAATTTAAAATCTTGCCTAATTTTTGTTCTTCAAAAAATTTTTTTATTTTATTATTTAACAAATAAAGATAATTTAATGAGAAAATATTGCAATTTCCAGAAGTCAGAAACTAATAAAAACCTGGAATTCTGGAAGGAAAATCTTGACATTTTAGAAATGCAAATTAATAAGAGTATCTTTACATATAATATTTTAAATGTATGTACAAATATTATAAATAAAATCTATGATAATGTTTAATATTAATTTATCATTCAGTCTTTACAAAGTTTCATTAAAATTCATTATATATATCTTTTTATAATGAATACGAAAAATTTATTTGTGTTGAAATGCTTTATGCCTGTCTTTCATTGGTTTATGCATTGCTGGCTATTAAAATTGCTGCACCATGAACGCAGCATGCAACTAATGTTAAATTTGCATGCTAGTATAGCAGATGATCAGTATGCCAGCACATCTGCACAAAGCAAGTATGAGTAATGCCATCTACATTATGTGTAAACGAGAAAGTTGCAGAGCAGGTTTTTGACATGGAAATCACATTTGAATGTTGGTTGTGTAAACATCATATCATGCCTACCAGTGCATGTTGGAATTAGATTATGGCAGGATCATGACCTATTAGGACTGTGCTTTATTGTTCCATGACATTGATGCTTGTGTTGGTTGGGATCCTATGACTATTAGGTGAATATGGAGTAATTGAGTCTAGATGGGCCATACTGAATGCCATGCAGTAGCTCAGTGACCCAGAAATGTTGTCCTCTCAAACTTGTGAGATCCTACTGCCATGTCACATAAATCTAAGTTGGGATTAGTAGGCAGGACAACAAGTATCTGCATGGAAAGTATGAGGTCAGCATGTTGCAGCTCCTCTTGATGCTGCAGTAGAGACAGGCACATCTATAGTGGTGCAACAAATGACAGTAGACACAGAAAATGACACTACATTGTTTTTTAGATGAACACCCATTCTGTGTACAGCATCATGATGGATGTATCCGTGTGTGAATGCTCCAAGAAAAATTAAAGTTGCTAGCTTGCATATCTTCATCCTACAGGCCCAGCAACTGGTGTGCTAGTATGAGGTGCTATTGGGTACACATCCCAGTCACCTCTTGTTCACATAACAAGTAATGTGAACAATTGGCATTACATTTCTTATGTTCTAAGGCTCGTGGCCATGCTTGTCATCAAAGATTGTCTGATACCATCTTTCAACATAATGCATGATTGCATTTGCCTTTTGCGCTGTTCTGGCTTTCTTTGATACAAAGAGTTTTCGACTGTTACCCTGACCAACCCATTTTCTAGATCTCTCACCCATTGAGAATATCCTGGTCATTGGCATTCCACTACTTGCCAGCCATTACTATTGATGAACTCTAACATAGAGTCGGTCATCCAAGCTTAGTTCGAAGCTTATGCCCTGCTGGACTATGGCTGTTGTTGTTGCTGGAGGTGATGGCTCTGTGTACTGAATTCTGCATGCTGTGTGCCTCAAATCACCTACAAACTTAATTATATGTTCCTCACACAATATTGTATATGTAAAATAAATATGATTTTGCTGTTTTCTTTCTTTCCTGGTGTAGCAATTTTACTGTCTAGCAGTGTATATGGCAAAACACATCAGAGTTATCTTCCTAAGACTAGGGACACTTAGATGAATGACTTTCTATGGAAAACCAACTCATGGTCACATAACAACCATTCAACCAAAACTTTCAGTGGAATTCAAGCTTAGGTTGAGCTACCAGTGTTCAGATGTCTTGACTTGGCTACTGGTAGGTCATTTCATTTCTTAGCCATTTAATATATTAATACTTTTTCTTTTTTTTTATCAACAGAAGAGAAGGTATGTTGGATGTCATGACTTATGCCAGTGGTTTCTCAAAAGATGTTCAAAAAGATTTAGAAGATGTAAGTAAATAACAAACATTTTACAGCTTATAATTTATACAAATAAACACAGCAAGCAGATGCAAGACTTAATGGGATTTTCCAATCAGCAAGGAAATTTTTGTTTATTGTCTGTTTACTCTACAAACAAATGAAACTGAATGATGTTCAGTTTTTATCTGTTAAGTCTGCAGATGTGTAGGAATTACCTAGTGAAAAAGAAGCAATCAGATAATGTGAACAAACGTTAACTGCTTGCCTGATTATCCCGAGTTATCTCGGGTTCATTTATAATGCAATTAATTATTATCCCATGAAAATTCAGGCGAAGCAGAATTTGTTAGTACGATTTTTTTTATCACGGTTTTACTCGGCTTGGAGGAAATGAAAGGAAATATTCAGCTTTGATTGGCAGTTTGCCAAATTTTGTTGGTTGCACGTTTCTTTTGGAGGGTCTGGTCATGTGTTTCCCTATTGTATAGTATATGTCGGTTTGTGGATTAGTAATGTATAAAGAAGGATACATGCATTGAAAAACAGTACAATAATGGCTGCAGTGGTAAGCCAGTAAGAAAAGAGACCAGATACCAGTGTAAAATGTCTGGTATCACTTTGTGTTGTCCCTTGTTTCGAAAACTATTATACAAAGACTAATATTTAACTTTTTTCTCGTTTGCCCAAGATAACTCGGGATAGTAAACTAATATTAAATCTAAATACTTTTACATGTTCAAAAAATTAAAAATTCAACTTAAAACCTACATATTTTGATTCGTTTTGTTTCATTGTATTTAATAATAATTTTTTTTTTAAAAAAAATGTGATGATTTTTTTTGCAATTTTTTTCAAAAAAATTTGTAAGGGAAGAGGTTAATGACAGATACAGCATTGGAGTGGAAAATTGAATTTTGGTGAATATCTGCATATTACTTAGAGAAAAGAAATCAGACTATCTTGGATCCAATTTTTTTTTAATATGTTCTTCCGCATTAAACTTAGTCATTGGAAGTTCATTGAATATATGGATATTTTTAAAAGTTTACCACAGAAGGCAAGTATTTTTAACTGTTGGGAGATGAAAAATTTCAGCATATACCTGGGTACTTGAGATTTGTTTTAAACTTGCATTCTGTTTAATCTGATGGGAAAGTTTTATGTGAAAGAATAAGTGTGCTTTTTAAATACTAGTTTATTTTCAAGATGTGTAAATCTCTCCAATCTTTTCCAAATCTTTCTGACTGAATCTGAATATCAATAGATATCTTAGAAACTCTGGGGAAAAAAATTCCAACACTGAGAAAAAAGATAGCCAGATTGTTTGAAAGGTCAGGAGAAATTTTCGCTGTCTAAGACATGGGTTCTCAACTGGGGGGGGGAGGATTTCATACTTTCAGTGAGAATTGTGATCAACCTTTTGCTTAGCTGTTCAGTATTTAGTTTATGAATATGAAAATACTTTCATTCAAGTGTAAATCTTTATTAATAATTTACATACTTTTTATTGTTTAATTAATAAAACACATTTTAACAAAGTTATTAAAGAAAATACACCATTTATAATGAACAATTACCCTTTTTATTTCTAAAATTACAGATAACTAATTCTCAAGCCTTCCTTTAGAGGCAAGAACTTGGAAAAGTTCTGTTATATACATATATACATCACAGTACGTGCTTAATAAAGTAGTGGGAACAATCGCATTCTAACACGTAGTGTTTTGCCCCTCTTGAGATGACTCATCCCATCGGCATTTTTATTCAGCTTACTTGAGCGGTAGATAACTTCAAAGTTGTAAGGCTGCAGCACTAGAGACCACCTCATCAGTCTCAGATTTGAACTCACATTCTTATTTAGACATACCAGGGGGTTGAGTTTTGATTTTGAAGTTTTGTCTGTCTGTATAATGATGCTCTTTTTTTTTTTTTTTTTTTTTTTTTTTTTTTTTTTTTTTTTTTTTTTTTTTTTTTTTTTTTTTTAATGGCAAAAAAATTATTACCTGCATACTTCTTTTCAGTGATGCTGTATTTTTGTTCAGCCTCAGAGAACTTTTTGCTTAAATACAAAATCGATGTCTTTCATTTTGATCACCGTGTTGTGAAACAATAACTCCTACACTGATTTCAGATGAATTCCTTTATAAAGTCAGGTATGAATAACATTGGTTTCTTGGTTAATATTTTTTTTAACTCTTAGAATGCTCATCTGCACTCTTCAATCCAATTAACACTTCCTTCCTTGGTTTTCCCCTTCAATTCATTTGTGAGAGGTGGTGTTAATCACAGAATACTTGGGGATATAATGCCCACAATATCTCTTTAATCCAAGATATGCAGTCAACTGAGTCTTTGTTGTGGGTTGGGGTTATTTTAGAAGTGCCTCTGATTTCTTACCATATACCCTCAGTATTTGATATGATTTTGGGCAAACTTGCATTTTGACATTTTAATTTTAGAATTGGCTTGTGATATTCTTTGCAGCATGCAACCTAGGTAATTTAAATGATTAGTCATTAGAGAATATGGCTATGTCAATCCAGTTATGGGATTGCATACATTTCACAGCCTTCAAGTATCTGTGCCATTAATTTTCTGAACAAATATGGAGCATATTTAAACCTGAATGGCATCCTTTATGGATGAGATGGCATTATGGATGAGAAGTGCCAAAGGAACTTACAAAGGTGACAAATCACAGTGCTTAGGGCTTAATGAAATTAGCCAATAACCTTTGGTTAAATCTGATATAGTACTGTATTTGGCCAAAACTACAGTCTTAACCTTTTCTTCAGGATTTGGTAAGCAAAAAGACTCAGTCCTAATTATTTGATTTAAACACCTGGCTGAGGATCTATGTTTGGTGCTTCCACAAAAACCGTAGGGAAGGTGTAATCCAAGTTGCCAGTTTTGATTACTTTCATATCCAGCAATCTCAAGACTTCTGATTTTGAGATGATGTTGCTTTGAGGAGACATTCAGTGTGGCTTCAATCTCCTGGACTGATAACTGATTAATTCAAAGTTATGAACCACTAATACAGTTATTCCACACTCATTGAAGTAAACTGACATATGTTTATCTAGCAAAGTCTGTGACTGAGTTATTTGTTCAGTAATTAACATTTCTACTAGTTTTATTCTTCTCATGTTATTTCTTCAAAGTCTACGTTTAGGTAAGTGGTGATATATGGAATATCTGCTTCCTGCTATAAGCCTTTATCATCACCCTTCTGCATTAATAGGTTTATTGTCTTTGGCTGTTGCTAATACAGGTTTAGTATGTTGATATGTCTGAGACCACTGTCTTTTTCCCGATAATTTCACTGCCTAGTTAGTTTCCAAGAGTTGACTCTTTAAATACCAGGGCTGAACCATTGAATGGACAATTTGTTTCTATTTAAGAGGGTGATGACTGCCACAGAGTATCCTTCTTTAAGCTGTCTTTTAATTGCTTTCTTATCGTACCATGACTTACATTTTCCCTGAAATTCTCCTAGTTTTTTAAATGCTAGTTCTTGGCACATTTCAGTCTATTTATTTAATGAGAAAACATACTCTAACAAAAGCATTCTCCTCTTGGGGCTCAACCCAGTGTTCATACAATAGTGTTTCTGGTGTCCTCAAATTCTTGCTGTGGACTAATTCAGGACTGGAATTCCTTATTTTCGTGTACACAATGCTAGCAAGGCAGACAGGAAATGTTTCTCCCAGTCTGATCCAGCTTCTAAATGCAACACTCACAAAAGTCTTATGATCATATGGTGAAATCTCTCTGTGATGTCAAGTGGGGGTAATAAACAGATCTGTGAATCACTCTGATCTTGTATTTTTTAAACTGTGTTGTTAAATTACTCATAAAGGAAGTTCCTTGATCACATTGAATTTTTTTAAGGTACTCCATTGTACTGAAAATCTTTATCATCACATCCATTACCATAGCAGAACAGGTATTTTGAAGACATATAGATGGCAGTTATTATATATTTATTCTCACTCTGAGTGACTGATAGAGCTTCACAAGCATCGATATTGGTTTGGCAAAAAATCTGTTATAATGAGCACTAAATTTATAGATGTCTTTCTCTAGATTTCCCATTCTTTTTACACAGGACAGATGTGCAAACATATTTTTATCTTTGAAGCAACCTGACTAATGAAAACACCTCAGAAACTTATCTTTTGTTTTCGTAACTCCTAAGTGTGTTGCGGCTAGGGCAGAAAGCTTTTACTTATTCCCACAAGCTTTTAGGAACAATCAACTTTTTATTTTATTTTCACTGTGGTCTTCCAAAATCCTAAATAGCAAGCTGTGTTCTTGGACAAACTCCTGATTTCCAGCGGTCTTTTGATCCTCCTGTTCCTGCTTTCAAAGATCAATTATCACTTATCTTGAGCTTTAACAAATTCTTCCTTTGTCACTGCTAAAAGAGGGTTTCTTTCCCCACATTTTCCATGTTGACCATTCTAACAGTATATTTCACCTTTCTACTGCCCATTCATTTTCATAGCACAGTTTTCTCTCTTGCTGAGTGCTTTAAAGTCAAATAATTACTTAAAGATTTTAAGTCAAAATAACATCAATTTTATGGGTGTGCATTTTATTTTGTTCTATTAGTTGGGCTGTTCAGTTCCCCTACTTTACCAAAGTTCTCTCATTCTAATTCTATCCAAAGCAAAACCACACACAAAGAATGCAAATCCAGCAGCTGCTTAACCTACACGCTCTCTATGCATTATCTAATACCTCCCAGTCAGGTCGATAATACAGCCACTAACTTGGGAGTACCATCATTTCTCAATTACTTATCCTTGCTCTGCTCATTCACAGTGCCAGCCATGTTTTGTTAGCCTATCTTTTGCAATTATCCATGGTCCAGTCTTGATGTTCCCAGGCCCACTGTAGGCTTAGTTGACAATGTTACTTGTCAACCCAGGCACATTAGTGGGACGTCTGCTTCTGTCTACAGGTTTCGTACACATTTCTGCACACGGAAATTAAGTACTTTTAAGGACCATTCATGAAAAAATTAAGGACCTGATGCAAATGGGAACTCAATAAATTCAATTAAAAATATTATCTATGCTGAACTTCACTTTTGTAATACCATTCTAAAAATAAAATAGATCCATAAGTAGGATGGATGCATTAGTATTAAATATAATTATTAGTAAGTTGAGAATAAAATAAAGTTTATGAAATTTATCATTAAAATTTTACAATCATACTAACTAGACATATTTGAAAGAAGATAAGTGACATTTTTTAAGTTTCACTAACAGTTAGCTTTAATTTTTTTTTTTTTTTTTTTTTTTTTTTTTTTTTTTTTTTTTTTTTTTTTTTTTTTTTTTTTTTTTTTTTTTTTTTTTTTTTTTTTGTTATGTCTTATTTTGTCACATACTTGCTCCCTCTATGAGTTTAGTAAATAATAAGTAGATTTTATGTCAAATGGCATAGGTAAAAGTGAGAAGTAAAATCACAATCAGCATGATTCAAAACAAAAGACTGGCTGTTGTGGCCACTCCTGCTTGCCTAGGAGAGACCTGATGATCAGAACAAACCTTAAGGCCTGATGTAAGCATGGTTTGCAATTTTGAAAGTTAGCTGAGGTCTGTCTGACACAGTTAGTGTCGTAGCTTCTTGTAGAGTTACAGGGATTGTAACTCAGTTAATATAGATTAAGGTCCTAATAATCCACTAAAGCACCAGAGGTGACAAGTTGTTTTGCATTATTTTAAGCCTCACTAGATGCGAAGAAATAGGTTTTTTACATGAATTTTTACATTTTTTGTGTTTTATCTTGTGACGACGATAAGGGTTAATGAAAAGGCAATAACTCGCTTTTTAATATGCAGAGATAATCTTTTAAAGGTAACCAGTTAGTTATAAGTAATTAAATTGGGTATTAGATAACCTTAGTCATTATAGATTTACATGGCCACTATTAAATTTTATTTATTTTTATTTGTTAAAAAAAAGCCTATTAAATTATTCATAACATAATTTTTATTAAATCCCAATCTAATAAAATTTCACAGTTTTTAAATACATGTAATTTATGGCATTGATTCTTAAATGATATTAGGATAATTACACACATTAAAAGCTACAAAATATTTATATTTATTATTTAATAATATAAAATATTTATATTTATGTCTATATATATTTATGGTCTATTTTTATATTTATATTTATTATTTAATAATATAAAATATTTATATTTATGTCTTATATGCCTTCAAATATGGTAATTGCAAATTACCAGGGCTGGCAGGAACTAATGCAGGGAGCAAGTGGAGGTCAGAAAACAAATTCTTGTCTTACACTCCAAAAACCTCAGTTTAAAAAACTGTTTAAGTTAAGTGATTTGCATTCTGGTGAGAAAATAGAAATGGGAAAAAATTATAGTAAAGGCTGAAATTGTAAACAAACTGGGTAATTTACATAATAATATCTGTACATATCTTTGAAGAATAATTTTCCTTCTCTTAATGTATTTTTTTTTGTTTTTTCTTCCACGTTTCCTTTTTCATTTTAGAGTTTTTGGATTTAATTAAAGATTTCTGTTATTCTAAAAAATATTAAATGCATTTAGAATATATAGAGAAAGCTGCTAATTTTATAGTAATAGGAACATTCAGAAGAAATATGAAATATATATGGTAAGGTCCGGTTACAGAGCTGGTGTGGCAGAATTTTTTTAATTTATTCACACATCGAGCAACAAAATCTAGAAATGTCAAAACTTTTAGAATTTAGAACAGGCATTGGAAGCAAAATTTACAAAGGCACCAAGCAGCACAATTTAGTGTGTATGATGCGTTAAGACATATTAGATGAATCGTTTAAATTGTCAGTTTTCAATTTCTTTATTAATAAAAAAATTATTTTCTATTTATTTTTGCCTGTCCATATGATAAGATTAGAAGCATTTTTGATATTTTATGCTGTGTCAAATGAAAAATAAAGAAAATAAAGGGAAGATAAAAATGTTAAGAAAAAGATTTTAGTGTCAGAACTAAAACATTCAACTATTATGTTTTTAATTGCTCTTCCGGATGTTCTCCAAAAAGTAAGAAATTATGTATTAATACCATGAAGTCATTTTTCACTTTGCTACATTTTTCTGGAATCTTCCAGAATAGTGAGTCTATAAATCTTGCCTTCAAATCTTTCTAAACTTTCCAAGCTGCAATGTCTAAAATCCTAAAGAAAAATTACCCTGCCAATTCAGTAACAGCAAAAAGCCAGAAATATTTTTTAAAAATTCAGATAAAAAATGTATAAAATTAATTTTATAGAGAAAACTGACGCATATTCTGAGACAATTACATGACGAAACTCTTACCAGGAAAAAACTAAAAAGAAAATTTTAATTACATAGCTATTTTGCTTTTGCTAAGAATTGTTTCGTAAATTGTGCTTTATAGCATTATACCTTGCTTATTTTTCAGATTCAAAATATTGTATAAAAATTGGCCAAAATGGAACTTTATAATACGACAGCAAAAAATAAAAATCCTTTATTTTAATGTTATTTCTTAAATGTAATTACAATATATTACCATTATTATAATGAAACTTATCAATGTTACATTGTTTTAAAAACAATCGTCGAAAAATTCCCAGATCTTGGAATTAAATATTTTCTATAGAAACTGATCTTAAAATTGCCAGTGTTGATACGTCACTAAATTTAGAGCAATTTAATAAAAGAATTCACATCCCCAAAAGCAAAAAGTTGTTTAAGAGCTTTTCACTAGAAAAAATGAAATAAATTCGAATGCTTTATGTTTCACACTTCCTCAGAAACTCTATCCCACCCTTTATAGAAATAGGAACAAATTAAAACCCATGAACCCATTCAAAAAATAACGATATTTGTCAGAGAATTACCAAAAATATTCCTCCAAAATGCTAATTCACACTCAAAATGGCAGTCGTAAAAACAGAAATTTCAGATGATTAAAAATTAAGGACCTTCTGACGATTTTGGCTGAAATTAAGGACCAAAAATAGATTCAAAAAAACTTAAGGACTGTACAAACCCTGTGTCTAATATAACCTGTGGACCAGAGCCAGGACAAGAGTGAGGCACTTGCCTCAAGTGAATCACTAGAAGAGGTGCCAAATTGGCCATACAAATTCGAAAAGAACTTAATTTTTTTTTTAATTTGTCAGTTATTAGGGAAAATAAACTTCAGCAAACTTAATAAAACGATAGGAAGAACTGCAAGAAAATCTGGAAATTAATGCAATGTGCATTTCAATGTTATTTCTTATTTATCAAAAAAAATTTTAATATTTTCATTTGAAAGTTATAAATAATTGGCTATATTTTTCTGAATTTATAAAGCTACAATTAGAAAATACTATAAGAATTATAATATTTTGATTTAATACATTTAGTTTTGTTTAATATAAATATAGCTATTTTGATATGGGCATACATTTTCCTTTTTGTCTCAGAGGAAAAAGTATCTTGTTATGGCGCTGCTGTAGACCACTTTCATAAAAGCTAATAAAAAATGAGAAAGGTGTAGATTGTTCAAATGTTGACAAACTATATTTCTCATGATGATCATCTCCTACAGAAGTCATCTTTTAAAAATTGCGCATAAAATAAATGTGCAATGCTTTCTATTAAAACAAACAGATATCAATATTAAACATCATCTTGAGCCCATTTAAAACCACCATAGGGGACCAAAATCTTCTATTATATATGTTATAACCATATGTTAACTAGCTTCTATCTAGTTAAAATTCAACAGTATTTTATGTTTTAATTTGTTTTTTCTTGTGTGTTTTCAGGCTGTAGACTTAATTACAAAAGATACGAATTCTGACAATGAAGATACTAATTCTGTACAAGACTGTGATGTGGAAGGCTTAAAATCAGAAAGTGGAACAAATGGTCTATTGGAAAGATACTTGGTTAATTCTGTAGAAATACTGAATTTTCAATCAGATGACTCTCAAAATATCCCAGAAATTCATTCTGATGAATGTCCAGAGTGTACAAATTTTACTGTTGAATTAACAGGTGCTATGCAGAATTCTGATGAAGAAACCTCTTCTGTAAAAGAATTAACTCTTAAGAAAACTGAAATTCGTTCTGCAATACTTGAAGAAATGAAAAAGCGATTACAGAGAGAACGTCAAAAAGAGAAGAAAAAACAGAAATTTAAGGAACAACAAAAGAAAATGATAGCTAAAGGTGAAGCTAGTGCTGTAACACGTAAGCGAAGAGAAAATAAGGATATTATTCAACAAAGTGCAATGTATGACTTTTAAATTATTTTGCATAAAATGTATGTAAACTTAGTATATGTAAACTTAGTATAAACGACATTTGGCATCAAAGTGTGATTTTTATTTTGAAATACCTCTAAATTAATATAACAAATATTATAATAGAATGATTTACATGAAATATAATTTATATTCCACAGCACTAAAACAACAAAAAAAAAAAAAATATAAATAAGATTCAACAATAAATATGAAAAAATTGATCCATTTCATAAGGGATGATTGTCTTCAAACATCAATCTGATTTCTTTTCGAGTGCTTCCCTTTTACACTGGTCATCTGAAATCTGAAAGAAAATCTGTAATTAATTTCTACTAATTCAATTAATTTGTAATTAAAGTTAAAAACTTGTTTTAACTCTTTGAGGTTCAATGCATAATTTTTTTAATAACTTTAAACATACATAATTAGCCTCTAAAACAAAGTTATTTCATGCAAGAAAAAAAAAAAAAAGGAAGATAAACCTTTAAGGCAATTCACAATGTGGTGGGATACCAGTTGTCCCATCGCACATCTAGAGCAGTGAAATGGCATCTTTGCCTCAGCGTAAGTTCTCCTAACATGCTTATCTAAAGTGCTAGTTTTAGCAACCAAATGAAAATGCAAGATATAAAAAATGTTTTTGAATAATTATCTAGAAAATACTGATCATATTCGCAAAATAAAAAAATACATAATTTTTAAAAAATTGCTTTCTGTGCGACTTTTTAGATATTTTTTAATGATTTCATAGTAGATTTGAAACAGAGAAGATTTTCGCACCAGTACTTTATTTGCTACACACGTTTGAAAAGAAAGATATTTAGACGTTTATTTACATTTCACCTCTCTTTTCTCTGCTTAGGATATTTTTCTATGATGAATCACACTCACATATCCATTCAGCAATCAATGACATTTCATGTTACAGAGTTCTATTTTCATTTCTTTTGGGAAAAATACTAAATATTTTTTTTCAAGTTTTAACATATTGCAATTTATTAAAAATATAAATTTACATTATCAACATATAAAACAAAAATGATACTTGAATTTAAAAAATTTGAATGGTGGCTGCCATCTAGTAACAGCAATTCCTACATGTGCGGTGATGTATTTGGACGTATTTGGTCCCCACTTTTAATTTCAACCATTCTTAATTAATATATATGAATTCAAATAATAATTTTATTAGAAAAGAAAACTTTCATATAAAAAATTCATTCTAACACCAAAAATTGTTGTGCAGACAATTTTAAATTGTATTAGAATAAGAACTGCTTCAAAATTAGACCTGCAAAGAAAAGAATTTTTATTTTACATTATTTCCATGAATCAATACTAGTGGTTCCATCTCTTATACATTTAGAGAACTAAAAGGCATAACTGTATGTATTTTAAATGGAACTTTGCAGCTTTCATCTGGTAGATAAAAAAGGTGGGACACCAGCCAAAAGGTTAAATAACAATCATCAGTTCTGGCTTTCTGTATGCATCAATATAAATCTAGCTGCATATAAAAAGCATTTCGTGACTAAATTTGCCAAAAATTTTTGATGAAAATATTGTTCAGGATAATTTATAAACAATGTCCACATTAAAAAAAAAATACCTTTAGGAAAAGACTAGCACTGGAAAAATACTGAACTTACACTGTCATTGTAGGGTAATGATTAATATATATTGTTTAAATTCAAAAGATACTTCTGCAATTAAAAGGGAGGAATTTCATAACACTATAGATCTAATGCACTAAAATGCAGACACTTAAGTAGATCTAATGTACTGTTACTGAATACATGTACACTGTAAAAAACAGCCAAAAAAAAATAAGAATTATGAGGGATAAGAGAAAGTGACATTTTTAAAACATAAGATTCTTCAGAAAAATCAGCATAACAGATATAACATCATTAAATTGGAAATTATTTAAAATTATATTCTAATGTAGAAAAGAAAATACATCATTATTTCAAAATATCAAATATTTTAATATTTAAAATTATTAGTTATGCTTCACAAGGTATAAAAAAAAACTTTTATATATGACTCAGCAAGACTGAACATAACTGTATTCGATGAAGAAAAGAAATGCAGAAACTGTATTAAGACATGTTCTTGAAATGTGGAAAACCAGGCAGTTTTCATGCCATGTGGTGATGCCATTTCAAAAGTCCAAATTCTAAATTTTATGTTCTTGGCTAATTTCATTTTGTAATTTTCATAAGCTTACATTAAGAAAAATTCTGAGTAATGAAGAAATGCTTTTGTTTATTAAGGCATGGTGCAAAAAAAATTATTTATATATGTGTGTGCATAATTGCGTGAGCAAACTTAGCAATGGACCATTTATTGATGTAACACAAAGTTAAATTAAACAATTAAACATTGCCTGAATCTTCATAAATTGTTCTACGAATGACTGCAATATATTAAGAGAATACAAATCAAATCAAATCAAATGTAATAAGGAAAATCACTAGGGATGGGAGAATGGAATTTGCACAATTTAAGTTTCAATAATTTAATGATTTTCATTTATTGTTGAGAAATATTTTCTTTAATGAAGTCTAAAAGTTGAGGGATTAGATCATTTACCAGAAGATGCAATGAAAAACCAAGAGAGCTGGCAGCTGTTAAATCTGGCTTCCTTTTTTAATCACACAAAAACTAATACAGTCAAAAGTTGTTAATCCGGACTCATCAGGACTTCGGCGATTCCGGATTATAGATCATCAATTTAAATCTGGTAAGATGGCATGCAGAAATAAAATTAAAAAATATGAAAAGATGAAACTGTAATTTATGAAGTAAAAAACAATTATGATCTAAAGGGTATCAAAAATTTACAAAAAAAAAAAAAGCTTAATATTTATTTGTTTGTTTTCTTTTTATTAAACATTTCTTTCAATGTAAGTTGTTTAAGTTACTTGTGTTTATGTGATAAATACTTTCTCTTTTTCTTTCTTCTTCAGTTACTTTGTTTTATGTGATAATACTTTCTCTTTAATTTTTCTTCTTCAGTTACTTTGTTTTAGTTACTTTGTTTTATGTGATAATACTTTCTCTTTAATTTCTTCTTCTTCAGTTACAAAGTTCCGCTGTTCAAGTCCTATAATTGCTGCGTCGAGAATTACCGACTAATTTATCAATCGAAATTTTTTCATTTTTCAATAACGTTCTCTGTGTCACTTTCTTCACTGTGTCGGAAGCGAATTATAGTGACGAGGAATTTGATTTAAATCATATCAAAGATGGAGTACATCGAGATGAAATACTACATTTAGTAAGGAATTATAAGCCAAATAAAATAAAAACATCTGCGCTGAAGATAAGGATAGTGCTGACAGATCAACTGCCAATCCATTGTGCGCTGCGTCGTCCCCCCCCCCCCCCCCCGCAAATCAAGGATTAAGGAACTAAGCAATCTGCAACATTAACTGAATTAGATAATTTTAGCTTAGGTTATACAACATTAAACGAGCATGCGTACACGCATATTCGCAGCCGTAAAGGTCTTGCGCGCATGCGCAGAAAGTTTGTAGTTTGAGATCCGGATTATGGGTGTCCGAATTACCAACTTTTGACTGTAATGCATTGCCAACCCTATATAATATACAACCAAAAATGACAAAATATTGTGTTAAATATGAATAAAATAAAGTATAATGATCATAATATAAATTATATATTCTATAAAGTATAAAATGATTATATATATAATACTACAAAGTCTGAGATCCAGACGTCCAATATCCAGAATGATCTAAAATACTGACCTAAAAACCACCACCAACCTTTTTTCTTTGTATGCTTTACGCATGTGCATTTGATCCTCTCCCCATAATAAAACGTGGAGAGTTCTGATGCTTAATTTCACTTCAGCACTAAATAAATACCTCATTATTGAAGAAACAATAATTTAGTATAAATTTTTGATCAATAATTTGGCTCCGTACCTACCTGCGTATCTACTTGGCATACATCTTAAGCTGAAGCATTCTGATTCTATGCCTACTAATATTTTATAGCCCTAACACCAACCTGACAAATCATAATTTTACGTTTATCAACACATAACAACTTGAGTGATGACTCATGCAGCAATGCACAATTTTCTTATATTAGAAATTTAATAAAAAAGAGTTTGGTAACCTTTTTATGTTGACATTAGGCTTGACAATGATTCCAGATGTTCTTGCGGAAGATAGCTCGAACTTATTTAATGATACTTAACTTCAGTAAGTGGACTGTAATATTAACAATAACAAATTTATTTTAACAAAAACAACATTATTGAATACTAGCACACGCATGTGCTTATAGTTACCTATGTAACTTAGCTAAGAGCGAGCAACCATATGCTCTTACATCAAGTCAGAAATCATTCATACTAATAAAGCAAAAACGAAATAACTTTAGGGTTACACTAAAGCCAAACTCTGCTTGGTGTAAAACAATGCTGCCAAGCAATACTCTTTCAGACACCGAACATCCCGCCCGGCATTGAAATATTAATTTCAATACAATAAGTAAAATTCAAAAAAGTAATAAATGTTCATACAATACAAAATGATACAATGTAAATTAATACACAAATTATAATACAAATAATTACACTGTGAAAAGAACAAATATGATGGATTACAATTCAAACCTTCAAATAAACATAAAAATTCGTACATTATTTTTCAATTGGCAGTACAGCAATTTTAGTAACTGCTCGTTTATAAATACCATTTTTGGTTTTGACAGAGACAACTCGCACAAAGTTGTCCTTCCCATAAAACACATCTACAATTCTCCCTAACAAACCATTTGCAGGTAGGAAGATTTTCTTCCTTGATCACTACCACATCCCCTATTTTAATATTTTGTTTAGCAATCATCCATTTATTTCTTTGAATCAAAGTGCTCAAGTAATTATTAGGTCCAGTTCTTCCATATATTTTGTACCATTTTTGTAGTTTTTTGCCATAAACTAAGTCTGTTATTATCTACTTCTGTTAAATTGGGTTCAATTATTGAATTGATCAGTCGACCGACCTATAAGGAAATGACCATGGGTCAAA